TGTTGATGTCCCCTTCCAGACCCTCAAATCCCTGTGGCTTGGCCGTGACCCTGACGAGGGGGATACGAACCAGTACCCAAACACGACTAGAAACTGGGACTGGAAGATATGCCGCCCCGACCCTTGAAACCCCCCCAACTGAACGGTCTATAGAATCGGACTGGCACCGACCTCCAGCATCGAGGTCAGCGGGTGGCGTATCGTCGGAGCTCCGCAAGCCACGAACCGAGGACTGGTGGGCCCTTCCGAGAGCTACCGAGACTGGACTGGTGGGGTGGTAGGGTGGTAGGGTCGAACAAATGCCGGAAGCACTGGAGCCATCTGGAGCCCCATGGATGCTCAAATGAAACAACCCTTCGATGTTTCTGGTAGGGGAATCACCAAATGCACAGCATTGTCCCACAATGTCCCACATATCCCAAAAAGTATAACCATCACCACTTAAGGAACTGGGTGGTGGAAAGACACCCCTTTCACCATGTGTTTACCATGTGTTTACCATCAAAAAAATTTGGGTGGTGCCGGATCAGCTTCCCATTCTTTTGCTGGAGCATGCTTTTGGCCCTACTAACCCACGAACAAAGGACTCAAAATCACCCTGGGCCCTGGGCCACTTCTTCCCTGCACAAAGTGGCGAGTGATTCACTGTTGCCCCCACCACATAAGCCACGGCCACAAACCTCGGATCACAAGATCTGCGCGCGCAGAAAACGCTCATCCCGATGGATCTTCCGGTTGAGGAAGGAGACCATGTGGCCCAATCATACCTTCTAAGAAGGTATGTGGATCCGGGGTGGTCATTGTTCCGGAGATCCGACTGGTTCACGTTCGCGAAGGATGTATGTTCTCGACGTGATTTAAGGCTACCCGGGCACCACAGAGGTTCAAAGCTCTACCAGACCCGGTAGAAGAAGTCGGTGGCTCGTCAACGACTGCAGGACGGTCCGCTCGCCACACCACCGGGTAAGCTTCAGCTGGCCGGGTGCGGGTCGACGGACGGGTTGGCACGGCGAAGAACGTCCGTTGATCTCCTCAGTTGGAGCGATTCTATGTAATGATCACTATAAGTCTTCAATTTCAGGCGGCTGGCACAGACCACAAGGTTGCAGGAAGTGTACAAAAGACCTGCAATTTTTGATGATCATCTATTATTGATGACTTTTGATGAATGGTGGAAACACCGAAACAAGCTTGATACCCTTAGCAACCAAAGCTTAGACCACACCTCACAGCCCTCTGCAATTCTCTGTGAGCGCTGGGACTTTTCGGATGGTCCGAAGGTTCGATCCTTACACTCCCTAGGGCTCCTGTCCCATCTCCTCAGGAGGTTTGGACCCTCCTGGCATCCACCCCTGGCCCATCTCCGAAACGGGGGTGGGCCAGGAGCCCAAACGGGACTGTTAGCCCCGTAAGCTTAGGGAGGACAACGGCCGTCCACGGTCTACACCATGGCACCAGCTGGACTCTCCAGTCTCACGGTGAGCCAAACCGAGTTCTCTGGGGGTGAAACGCAACGCAACGCCACCGAGAAACGTCCAAACGGACCACTTCTTGGCCAAGCAAGCCAAGAGGATCTGAAGTGCCACAGTTGCCTCGACTGGGACAAAAACCTGAACAGTCACATGGAGGGTCTGGGCGGTTTGGTTCGTCCCTTCCAGTGCGCGGATGTGACAGGGGCAATTGCATTGTTCTCCATGCCAGGAGATTCACCCAGGAAGAATATCAACTGCCAAACCGCTTCATCTCGTCCTTGTCACGACGTGACAATTCTCCACACCTGATTTGAAAGCGTTCGGGGCGCCGTCCTGGCGTTCAATGGCCTGCATCCCGAACAACCGGCGTTTTTCTATAAAGGGTTTTAGACATTTTTAGACTATAACACCAGGTCAACCGTCAACCATTTCTTAAAAAGGCCTTCGAAGGCTAGGTCAGCTTGGATCAGCCTTTCTTGGAGGGCCCCTTGCTTCTGAAGGATTGGCGGTTTCATCTACCGCCGAGAATTCCTGTCGGGTTTGCAAGGTCTGTGATAGTTGTGTTGCGGAGCGCTGGTCATTTTCTAGGCCAACTGTCTTTGAACTTCTACCAAAAGAGTAGTTAGATATCTTTGAGCCCGTCCCAGGGGGTCATGAATAGACAACTCTTGCGAGGGTGACGTCGGGGTGCCAACTGGGAGGAGTTTCATGTCGGGGTCTTGACCCGGTGAAAATGAACAAAGTCCTCTGATAGCCAAGTTGGTCGCCACTTTGCATTTACTGCCCAGGGACGGCGACGATGTACTTCGTGCGCCATTCAGGACCCATCAACTTGGTGATTTCCTCGGCGGCGCCATTGAACCCGGTGGTCTGAGGGTTGAACCTGGAGCTTCCAACGTTCTTGGGTGGCTTTTGGGGGAGCACCCAGTGTGGGAAAAGATGCTGTCATCTAAGTTATAGAGGATGAGTTTTGCGCAAAAAAAATCACATGTTTCAAGTGGGTTGCACCAATATGCACCAATCTGTAGCTCCCGTGCTGGGTCCTGTCGAGCGGCCCAGTGCCCTTCCTCTCTAACACAGCCTATATGGCAAAAAGGGAAATACGTTGGCTCAAGATGCAAAATTCACACCAACTGTATGGGCACAACTGCTGGAGAGCCACAAATCAAATATTGTACAAACATCCTTCACAGTTTCAACATGTCATGCAGCTGGAAGTCTAAGTTCACCAAAAAAAACAGCACTGCCACTGCTATGCACAACCTCATACCCTAAGTATTTACACGCTTTCAGGGGCTCCTTATGTGGTGTGAGATTCCTTGGATGGGACAGCAGTGTAAAACGATTCACTGAACATCAAATAAATGAACAGAACTTCATGTGTATTTTTTCTGAAACATATCTAGAGCCCACACATGACCCTCTGTTTTGATAGGAGAAGACCCTATATTTGGAGTGGTTGGTGGCCATGATCCAAAATAGAGCATATAACAAAGTGTGGTATATACAGTGTATATATATAATATAAGGTAAGTCAGGTTCGAGATACCAACATCCTGCAGTACCTAAGATTTGGTCAGGCGCCTTGATCTTCATTGTTTCAATGTCCTACGGAGCTTCTTCCAAGTGGCGAACGATCCGGGTCCTTCCAACCTTCAAAAGGCACCGGCCGTGTCTCCCCGCGTCTCCCGCGTCTCCCACCTCTGTGCACGACCAAGCGGCCGGATGAGCTTTGAGGATCTCCTTCCGTCGGGTCGCATGGGGCTCCAAGTTGTCGGCGAAGAAGAAGTCCCTCTCCTCCACCCCCCGGCGGTCGGCCGTCGGTCGCGACCGCGCGCCGAGGTTCGCCGTCGACGTGCCGGTGAGGCCGTGACCGGCCGTGAGAAGGAGAAGGTGAGGCCGGAGCATGCGTTCGAAGAGCAGAGGAAAAAATAGGCTGCCAGGCGACAGTTGTGGAGAATAGGTCATAGGTGAGTGCCATAGTGAGTAGAAATTGGAAGAATGTGAATGAATGAGCCTCAATGATCTCCATCTATCCCCATCCTGGCTCGAGACCAAGTCCGCTGCATCATCACTCGACTCCGCAGACACGCACCAGCTCCACTCCCTCACAACCCTGTGCGTCTGCGTTCACCCTTCACAACCCTGTGCGTGTGCGTTCACCCACCAACCTAATAAATAGCAAACATGAGCAATTAAACTATATATTAGACTCAGACCTTTCCTTTTCTTTTTTCTTTCTTTCTAGTATAGCGATGGCCTCCACCCTATTGGCCGCGATGGCCAACCTAGTAACCTTGTCGCGATGGCGGCGCCTCGCCTCAGGGGCCTCGGAGCGAAGAGAGCCCATGGCACGGCTCGTTCCTCCGAGACGTCCGTCGTTCTCCTCCGATCTCCGCTGCTTCGCGGGGCCGTCGAGCCAGAGCTGTGGGTCACCGGTCGTCGAAACCTGCTCTTTGCTGCGTGCAGGGCCGTCGGGCCGTGCGGTTCACTGCGGTGGCTTCGCGCTTCGAACGCCAAAGCGGCGTGCGGTCGCACGGGTGTTGTCCGAACCTGAAGAAGACCCCTGGAGCTTGGAGCCAAGCGCCGTCGGAATTCCTATCAAAAGCAAGGTCATGTCGGGGTTCGTTCGCTTGGTGGGTGGCCGAACTCACCTCGTTTGAACGTCGGACCTGGTCCCGGACCTCATGGATGACCGGTTCAGGAAAGGGGTACGAAGGGCGAAGAATAGACTATCCTCTAGGTACCCCAGTAGGGTCCTATTTACGGTCACTTAACCTCTGTTGGCTTATTCTGCATGACCTGCTATGTCCACTGAAAAATCCTGCACTGTCAAAAAAAAGAGAGCAGCGGTGGATGCTGGTTCAGCGGTCCAAAGCTAGAGCAGCCTGCTTTCTCCAACCAAACGAGCCCAAACATGACCTCTGTTTGGGTGGTTGGTGGTCCAGAGCGGTCGTTGGTCGTTGAGCTTCCAGGCTTCCAGGTGTGCTTCTCTTCATGGGTGAAGTTGCTGGGGCGCTTTCATCCACCGTTGCTGGGGCGCTTTCATCCCTACCCGGTTCGAACCACTGTAACTTCACATCCCGGTGAAGAAGCCTGTGAAAGGTCACCTATAGTGCTTATGGGGCTCCAAAAAGCTCACTTTGAAGAAGGTGGTACATGTTGTGTTTTGTCATGATGTCCTCCCACCATCTCCCACCAAAGGCAAGAAAGACAGGTTCCTGCGTCTTTTCTTCTGGACGTCCACCATCCAGGTTCATGGATGTCTGCTTTGTCTGGAGAACCTTCGTCCAACTCTGATGATTAAAAGATCAAGAAAGACACACTGCAGTTTTCCAGCTTTTTCTTTTGGGGCTTTGTTTCGTCGCTTTGAAATCAGATTTCCCATTGGTTGCATCCTTTCAACGGCAGTCCCACCGAGCTAGAAACCTCACCAGGCGCGAACCATCGTCCGACCCCGACCCTCGCCCGCAGCACTACCCACAACCACCCACGTATACCTCCTCCGCGACTCGGTCGCCAGGTCACCGGCCACCACCAGGAAGAGTTGGTTCCTCCGGATCCGGGGCGCCTCCTCACCACCATACCTTGAGACCGCGAAACACCCACCGGTTCACCGCTCGGACCCCGGTTCAGCGGCCTACAGAACGCGGAGCCGACGCGGAGCCGAAACGCGGTGACGGAGGAGGGTCGCGCCACTCATTGGACACCGGTCCAATGGGACCTCGGTCAATGCCTGTTCACTCTGCAAGATGAGCGATCTAGATCATGTTTGGGAGCGATCGCCAGAGCGATCCTGCAGCTTCGGACATCGATCGGGGTTGCAATAAAGGTGCTCAATACATGTCCTTGACTAAGCACAGCCCACTTCATCCCAGATTTGTGTGCAACCACGGTTTCAACATCTACGTTCTGATTCTTAACGCTTTTGACACATCAACTGAATCCACTGGCTGAGAATGGTGTTAATATGGATGTTCAGAGAATCCCCCCAAACTAATTCCCGAAACTGGGGGACTTGAACCACCTCCTGCAGCCTCAGTTGCTCCACATCGCCCAGCAACCGCGCCCCACCGCCCGCGCCCGCGGCGCGGCGGAGCGCCGCGGCGGGGAGCGCGGTCTCCGTCTCGGCCTCCAGGACGCGGCCGAAGCGCACGCTGGGCACCGAGCGGAGGGGCGTCCAGCCGTCCGGCAGCGCGGCTGGCTCAGCGCCACCTGGAGGTGCTGGAAAGGTGACTGGGAGGCTTGGGGTGACTGGGTTAGACTGGAACAGATGGACTGGACTGGAACAGGAATGCGTGGGGTTCGGTCAGTCACGAATCGTCTGCTTCTCAAGAGGTCACGACCTCCGACTCCAAAGAAGTCACGAACGGTCCAGGTGCTGGAGCATGACTCTCAAGTCGACAGCATGTTAGCTTAACATACCCAGACACGACCCACCCATGGGACTGTCATAGGACTACCGATCAGGCCAGGGGTGGTTGAAGTCGGGGTCAATGTATGGAGCATATGCCAGTGAGATGGAGTGTCCGTGGTGTCTGGGATAGCTTAACATCTTTCTCAAACGTCCGCCTCTTGAAGCGAGGGTGGGTGAAAGGGTCTCCGGATGCCAAAAGGATTAGTCCCAGACCAAATGGAACTGCCCAGACGCTCCAAACTGCTCTTGGTCCCTCAAAACCCTATGATCACTTGAACATTGGGGACCCGCTTCGCACGCGACTTTCTGCTTTTGGTCTCACGTGGTCGCTCAAGCGACGTTCCTCAGAAAGCTGAACATACAAGAACATCAACCAGTATCCATCCAACCCCATACAATACAACGGACAACATTATCGCAACAAACATGTTCGTCACTCACGAGTAGGAAACACTTCATAACACTTCCCCATCACTCAGAGCATTCCTCGCTCACTCCCTTCTACCATGCCACAGAAGATCCCCCGGAAGCGCCGCCGCAAGCTATAGCCGGCACTCTCTCCACGCGCGGAGAGAGCGGCTGCCGTGGCGGTCTTAGCACAGAGGACGAGGCCGCCGATTTCCGCCTCCAAGAAATGTAGCGGGATGGCGGACGCCAACGCATCCTCCTGGCGAAATGGCGGAGCACCCACACCTCTGCCCTCTCGGCCAGAAGCACATCGCACAAACGAATGATCATTGACATGATGTGCTGAAGCAGCGACCCTCACCTGCGGTCGCCAACTAAGCTTTCGGACATACTGAATGGTTCCACGAAGCGGCGTTGATGGGCTGGTGCCAAGATCACCACCGCGCGGCGGGGCGTTTTGGATGCAGGACCCAACACACTGACCCTTGTACGTGACCCAGGAGTAGTAGGCACATCACGTGTACGAACACTAAAACAAACTTTGACCTGGACACAAAAGGGAACAATGGCTACACAAGCGCAAAAATCTTGTAACGCAAGACAACCCCAAGACATAGGGAGCCAAAAACCAAACAAACGCTCTTAAAGCAAAGGCACAGGATCCGACGTTTGAAATCCCCACAGGATCCGAATCCCATGCGGCTACAACGTCCGAACGACGCGACGCATGTCGCCGAGGTCGCGTCACGCGAGGCCTCCGTGGTCGGTGGTACAAAAAAGACGTGACTGGGCTCCAGCTCAAGAGACTGGGTGCAGCTGAAGGTGAGACTTGGATGATGATTCCGATTTTCTCAAAATACTCTATCTACCAGGACCCTCCTGTCGGGGTGTCTATTTATAGCCCCTTAGCTGTGATTCGGGGTGTCCATTAACCACCCCTTGAAGGCCCTGGTAGCTTCAAGTTCAAGAAAATTCAAGGGCTCCAGCTCAAGGGCAGGTGTCCACTTGCGTAGATTCACCCAGAATTCTCCAAGACCATCCAAGACCTCTCAGCTTTAAAAGTAAAACACCACTTTCCCAGTTGATCAGTTTCAAATGTTCCAAGAAGCCTTCTTCGGTTTAAAGTCCTTATTTGGGTCCATGGTGATATACTGCTGAACTGCACCTTCCCAAAGATTTGGGGTCAAAACACCCACCAATGCACTCGAGCGCATGTTTCTGGGTGTCTACTTCCGAGCCCTTTCCAAAAGTGCAACAAATCCCTCCACGCTGTCTCCCCCGGCAACCAATGGTACGTCCTGCATGGAAGGGCTCAAGGAAGGCTGCTCTTTGGCCGCCAGCATGTTGGCCAAGGTGCGCACACCACCGTGCAACCCTCGCACGAATCACCCGATCGCACGATGGGTTGGGCGAAGCGTGCGGAAGACGATCGACTCGCCTTCTGTCTGCGCCCAGGACAGGGGGGCGAACCAACAGAGCTTGAAGGACCCTAGTGCGACTATATCCCATAGGTACCCGGTTCCTACGCCTTTTTTAAAACCTCTCTTGGAAGGCTTTTGTTTGAATGGATTGTGGGGGGTGCTGGAATCCCGTCGAAAGATAAGGAGGAGAATGGTGCTGCTGGTGCGAAAGGATGTTCCTCTATAGCAGTGATGTTCTGCTGCTCTTTCTATGTTTTCTATACACAGGAGGATTCAGCCCCAACTCCCATCGTCCAATTTCCGATGCGACCGGACCAAAAGAAGGAACCTGCAGACCTGCAGGACCCTCAGGAGACCTTTGGAGCTGGGGGTGCATTCAAAGATTCCAAACAGCGTTTCTTGCTCCGTTCGTAGCGAACCTTGTTACAGTAAGGCCAGGAGTGCCCCCACCTCGTAGCGTCCGATCGCTCCGTTCAAAGCGATGCCCAAGTCATGTTCCGTTCGGAGTTCGTCCGATCGCGGAGCTATGCCGGTAGCTTTGCCGGTAGCGATGCCGGTATAAGCACCCCCTCCGAAAGTCATCACAAAGCTTTTTCAGGGGCTCACCTTGCGAAAGTCATGTAGAAACCACCCGCCCAAAAAGAAAAACTTCTAATCTCACGCCAGAAGTCTAAGTCCTGGTTCTTTGACCACGACTGCCAGGTGCTCATCTTCAAAGAGGACCTCCTGAGTTCTTCAGGGATCAAAAACATGGTCAATTCCAACTTCTTCCCTCCACGGCGCACAACACTGGCTCCCAGCACAGGTGGCACACCTCGACAATAGCCATCGCAGGTGCTTTTTTGTTGCTCGGGTTCCAAATGATCCAGATATTGCCCGTGCCCTTTGCACCCATTTTACATACCCAAAGATGTAAGGGAAATCTGAACATAAATATCCAAACCTTCGGCTTCTCAAAAGCCACCTGACACTGATCTTCGTCTCAGTTTTCCTCGCCCTATCAATTGCAGGTCCATCACACCCTTCAGCCCATCGCCCGAACTCAAGGCAGGTCGAAAAAGCAACCTCACTCAGATGCCAAGTCCTGAACCCTCCATTCCGGAATCGGGCCTGACCCGAACCCTCTAAAGTCAGGGGACAAGAACCAGAACCAATCCCTAGGTTTTTGATGGTTTTTGAGGGACCAGCTTCAAGGGCGGGTGAAACACGGAGCATCTGTGACCGCAGTGGACACCTGCCCAGTCACCAGCTTGGTCTCGTGAGGACTCCGCCGCGGATAGTCCGGCAGAAAAACGATCGTCTGCGGAGCGGCCAACGACCTGAATGGCCCATGGGCAAACGGCGGGCTCCGCAGGCGTCGTTACTCGTCGTGTCAGGTGTACTCGTTACTCGGCTGGTACCCCAAATCCGATTGGGGTGTAACATCGGGATGTTCTGGACAGATCCTTTGGGATTTATTCAGTGCATTTAGCTCCACCAAGTCTGCAAACCAAGACGTCCGCAGCCTTCTTTTCTCCCCTCCCAAGCTCCAAGCTTCTTCAGCTTCTGAGGCCACTCCACGTAACTGCTTAATGTCTCAAGTCTCATTCAAACCCCAAACCGAAACCGCAGGGTGAGCCCGCTTGCCCGAGCGATCGAGCTGAAGAGCCACGATAGATAACAGTGCCTCCAATCACCTTCTGAGAAGGTACTTGGATACCTAGGGAGGTGGTTTTCACTCACTCCACTTCTATCATGACTCTTTCAGGGAGTCTGTAGTCTATAGGTCTCCATTTGGCACCACTTGGGAAGCGCCAGCCGCCAGGGTGGGGGCGTTCCCACAAATGAACTCCGGAATCAAACTCCTGATGCCGGAAGTCCGCGGACAAAAGGTTAAATGCGGCTGTTCTCGTTAACTAGGGGGTTAAAGGTTCTCCACCCCTATGAAATCCACAAGACTTCTCAGTTTTGGTACGACTGAACCCTCCAAACCGCCTACATACAAGTGTCGAACACATACTTTGAACACATCACCCCCAAAAAGAGGGTGGCAGTGGATCCCAGTAAAGTTTGTTCGTTCAGTGGATTTGGCCTTGATGTTCTTAACTTTCCCGACTCTTCCAGGTCATAGAACACACGTGCCGTGCGGTTCTCTTCAAGGCTCACTGACCTGGCAGACGAAGCATCGACCCCACCGACCAGACCGACCGGAGTTGTTTCGTCCCACCACTCCGCGGAGCCGTCGACCGCCCAGGCACTCGCTCCACCATGCTTGTCGCACGCCTGAGGGACGCGAGGGAAGCGTCCAACGAAGGTCGAGATGACCACGGTGAGATGAGCAACCTACCACCTGTGAGAGGTGAGGCGAGGTGAGAGGTGTCCAAAAACCGAAAACCACCGGGCGAAGACGGGAGGTGTAGGTAGAACCCGGATATCATCTGTCTTGGGTGGGTGGTGGTCCAAAATGGTCACACAGGTTCCAGGTAAGCGAAGGTCATCAACAATTGAAACTACATGTGGAACGGGTTCAAGTGGCAGTTCACCTTCGTTAATGAAATCCCTCACCACCATCTTGGGCAGAGTAGATGTGGTAGTTCTAGGCAGTCTCAAGACCCATCGATGCAAAGATGCAGAAAAAAAAAAGGCTGCTGGACGAAATGCTCTACGCATGGCTCCCCCTTCCCCCTCTTACTAGTCTAGCTGTCCGGGATGCATTGGCGTTTGAAGAAGTGTACCGTTTGCTGCCTGGGTCTGCTTAGATCTCTTCAGGCTAAAGTACCGTCTGTCCCCAGTCCGAGGATCAAGGCTGACGTTCAATCAGGACCTTCCAAAAGGTGTTTAATAAATAACCTCTTAGAGGTGTGAAGGGGTGTCCATAAACCACCAGGCTTGGAAGGTCCTGAAAGCGATTACCCCTCATTACCTTCCATCCAAGCAGCTGGTGTCTCTCATCTCCTTCACCTCCTTGATCCACACGCGTGCGCGAGCACACACGCGCCGCGCCACTGAGACGGTCGGGAAGTGACTGGGCCAAAGGTTCAGCAACAGGTCCATCAGGGGCTGCGCCGGCGCCTCGACGCGGGGACCGGCGAAGGTTCGACGGCGCGGAGACGGCGCTTGGCGAAGATCGCAGAGCGGACAAGAAGGAGCGAAAAGAAGTGAAGGCTACACCGACTTCGTCGTACCTCCTCAGAAGGTATTTGGACCCTCCTGGCACCCACCCCAGTCCCACCTTTTCAGGAAGTGCTTGGAGGCCTGGGGGAAGTGGAACTTGGGGAATTGTTTGTTGGTCTCTTCGAAGCCAAGGACCCACGGAAGGATTGAAACCTCTTGAATTGGAGTGTTTTGGCTCAGATGGTCACATATAATAAGAAAATGGTTCAAAAGGTCTTTTCCTATGTATCAAAACAGGGTCGTTCGAAGCAGTAAACTCTGGTTTCGCTGGGCCCCGATCTAGCACAGGGTCCTAAGAACCATCGAAAACATTCTAATGCCGCTGAATCAGGACCTTCACACAGGCGTGGGGGGAGGTTGTTGGCTCAGTTCTTTTAAAATGACAACCAAACCTCCTCTACATCGTAGGCACTAATCCGCAAAACAGAATCATTAAACCTAGACGTGCTACCAATGCCTCGCCAAGAGCCATTATTTATGGCCGCATGCGGTCTTTCAAACGGCTCAAATCGTTAAAAACCAAATGATGATTTCAAAAATTCGGTTCACGAGCTGTAAGAGGGTTTTCTCAGACCTCGAGTGCATGCCTCCTATTGCGTCCTCCACCGCCGGATGAAAAGTTGCCCGAACCAACATTGAATGTTCCCAAGGCGATTTGCATCATCCATAAGGCTGAGAAGGAAAACAAATGATTCATAATCCCTGCCGGCTTCCAACCACCATTGGTTTCAAGGATGTTACCATGACTTTACACCGGGTGCATCATGTTTTACTGTAATATTCTTGGACTTCCACGGTGATAGAACAAAAATGAACAAAAAGACCAGGTGAAGCCCTGGAGGTTGTTCTGTGTTTTTCTATCCATGTCTGAAAGGGAGTTACTTACTAATTTACTCATCAAAAGACTCCCATCTTTGTTTTGCTCCAAGCGCGCACGCAGAAGATGCACATCAATCCAAACCCCCGGAACTTCACGACCCGGCCCACCAGCAACCCCTCGCGCACGCGCACCACCGCACCTGTGCTGGAAGGTGGTGCACCAGCACGCAGTCCTGTGGCTCCCGCTCATCTCGTCGCTCCCGCGCGGTGCACGCGGGCGAAAGGGCGTCGGTCCTCGCGGAAGAGACGAGCAGTCTGCGGAGGGATTCCCTTGCAGGTTCAGTCTAGTATGTCCAGGTGTACCTACATCCAGGTGCAGTCTAGTACAATTTGGTCCTGACAAATGTACATTGAGTAGTGATTTTTATATGAGCAACTCCAGTAGAATGAGGTCAAACTGACGTGTAGGGGCATACCCTTGCGGCAAACGCTATTAGAGCCAACCAACGTGAACAATCACACACTCACACACACACACACAAAAAGGACCTTCAAAGTGACCTCTTTGGAGTCATATATATAAAGTGATCTCTTTGGAGATCTCAAAAGGTCACTTTGAAGGTCCTGGCGTGTGTGTAGAAAAGCAACTTGGTCGAAGCATATCTGTGCACCCGAGTTCCCTGTGCGCGATCGTGTGCTTTCTTTCCTCGCCAAGGTGGGGAAGAAGAGTTTGTAGAAACAAATGAAAGGACCAGGAGTTCCAAAGGGGTAGCTTTTTAGTCCTGGATCGTGGGCAACCATATCCTCCAATAGGCAGGCACCAGTTTGGAACTAACGGTGTAGAAACAAATGAAAGGAGGTTGAACTCCCATAATTCCTGCGGCCTGCGACCTGATTCCTCAATTTACCCGTATCCTGGGAGGAAAGAACATATATAGTCCTGTTAGCCTCAACAAATCCTAAGCTTGCTGGGCGGTCGCTTCGGTCCGCAGAAAGCAAAAGAATTCATTGTAGTGAGCAGTGATTTCAACACATGCAACGACACATGTCCACCGAGAAACACCTCTACCTCCCCACACCACACAGCATTACTCCATTCAACGGCTTCATCGGACGCACCGACGGCTTCATCTCTCCCCGTGCGCATCGCGGGTCACGCGGGTCAACGGGACCCGCCTCACCGTGGGAGAGGAGTCTCCGCGACGCTCCAGGACCAGGAGCGCTGCAGGCCAACCGCCCACCGTCACCTGAACAGCAGCGGACAGCAGGTCGAAGGCGAGTGGACCGGTGTTGACTGTATAGACGGCGTAGCCTGGAGGCATCGTCTGTGGATCATAGCACCAGGAGACTGGGCACGACCTAGCTGGAAGGTCGTTCGCTACATGGTGCGACCAGGGTTCCCAGGAAGATGAACTGCTTTGGAAAGGTTCTGAAGGTGCCACACTGGTCCATGCCAGAGTCGCTATGACAAGCTGTCTGGCAAAGTCATATATGTCAGTGCTACAGTCATACTTCGTCTCAGAAGGTATGTGGACCCTCCTGGAAGGAACACCCCCCCAGCCCAGCCCCACCTTCTCAACAGGTACGACTGGAGCACTAGGGATCATGATGTGCTTTTTTTGCTGCCTCTTCGGTGAACAATTTGATCCCTTAGGCCGCGGTGTGTGCTGGTGAGCACTTCTTCGATGCTGGACAACACGTCTCTTTTTGCATATATGAAATAGACCTGCTTTGTGAGACAAAAGCATCTGAAAATCCGAACACGTCACAAATCCGATAATGACAATCATCATCAATCATCTAAGATGTATTAAAAAGCTGAAGACAAAGAACATAGGGCTACGGCAGGCCTATGGGGTCGAGGCGCCCCCAAAAGTCAGACATTTCACCAGCTTCAGCAACCCTCTCAGAGGGCGAAAGGAGAGTCTAATTCTGGCTGACATACAAGGTCGTATTTCACAAGCCTTGAGCAAGGAGCCTCTTCGTACAAGAAACCTTTTCCGTCTGCCCCCAAAAATGGAAGCTTGTGTGGATCCCGATCTACAAATGAGACACGGGGGGCTCTGCGCCCTTAGCTTTGTGAACCCAAAGATCACTGGGGACTGACATGGGGGGGTTCATCTGCCAATCTCTCAGCCTGTGTCTGTGTCATCGTGACAACTAGGAAGAGACGTGGCATCCATACATGGCACGGCATGCATGAAAAACCAGCGGACCAGACCTGCCCACCAGACGTTCGTCTTGGTGTACTTTGGCCATCACATGCCATCACGCAACACGAACGTCGAGAATGCCCAAAAGCCGCGCCTTGTGGCACGCCATCTGGCACAAGGCCTCTCGGTCTCATTATGCAGCAATCCGACGAGAGGTCAATGAACATCCCACGGATTCCGAAGACGCATATAGCCGATTCACCCCTCTTCAGGGTGGTGTGGTTTGTGGATGGTAAACACATGGTGAGGGGGGGTCTATAAACCAAAATAAACCAAACCACCCTTTGGGTGGTGGTGGTTGTACATAATATATCCATGAGGTGCTCACTGTACAAAGTGTGCGATGAAAGGTCCATACATGGATCTTCAAACAGCACAATTTCTTTGCCGGAGGCAATTTTCAGTGAAAAGACACCGCAATTATGAAAAGGCCATGATTGGTGCTTCCATCTCCATGTCTCTCCACCTGTGGTCTCTCCATGTGTCTCCTTCAGAAAGCCACGACATGTATCTCACGTTCCACAAAGACCAATGGGACTGGAAGGGTTACCCTTGTTGGGGTCATTCGAACATGGGATTTTCATGTATGTCACTCTTCCAGTCCCATGGATGTCTGAAGTGAAGATGGTCAAAGCAGTCTGAAACCCTAGGGCTCCAGTTCTTACTTCAGAAGGTACGACTAGACTCTGTATGGGGAAGTGTTTCCACACTCCCAGTCTCCCAGTCTGCATGTCTCCAAAGCCACCCAGGCTGTCTCCTGGCACCGTGAGAAGCCACCCAAATCCGTTCACAGACGGTCGATCTCCCGACGAGTTCGTCACGGCCCCAGAACCTTCGGAAGAACGCCCTCCGAACGAAGCCGGGACGGGACGGGACGGTTCCCACCTTCCCCGACGATCGCGAGAGGAGTCCGAAACCAGAAACGCCACAGAATTAAACGCCATGGCGCACTCTGCACGGTCGAGTGTGGCACCCCTCGAAAAAAGAACAGTGTAACAAGCGTGGAGATCTGAAGGACCAAACTTGTGGCGTGATCTCTTCCATGATCTCTTTCCATGGTAGATCGTCCTGTCACCCAAATCCGATCAATTGATCACGCAGGCAGCTCGGTGAGACTTTTTGATCGCCACACAGGCGCCATGTGGTTGCAGCTCGTAGCCACCATCCCAGACCTGGCAGCAAGAGCGATACTAGTTTGCTACTAGTAGCAAGAACGAGACTAGTAGCTTCTTGCTACTAGTAGTAAGGCCAGGAGCTACTAGTAGCGTCCTTCCTCCTAGTAGCGCCCTTTGTTACTAGTAGCGTCCGAAGTTTCTACCAATGTGGCAAAGACTTCCAGATTAAAAAGGGTTGATTTATCCATTTTTTAGGGGATGGGTCGTGGCAAACCATGTTCACCTGACCAGGAGGTCCAGCATGGTCCGCGGTCCCAGACCGACGTCCGTTCATTGACCGGTCGTGCCCAGGTTTGACCCATGGGAGATGTAACCTACCTGGAGCCTTTTTGTGACCCCTGTTTTGGAGGATCAACTATCCAAAATATGGTCAAGCTTCCTATCAAAACAGAGGTCAGGCGAATTCGGCTCTATAGGTATAGAACCGAACCCGACCATATGGATCTTCGCAGTTCGGGTTCCTGTGCCAAGCATAGAGTTCGTGCCCACGAACTCTGAACCGGACCCACAGGAACTGAAGCGCTGATTCCTGACCTGTAGGGCAGTCCAGAATGGATGTTGGTCCCTTATTATTTGAGGGGACCTACAAAGAACAGCACCTGTTGAGCACCCACAACTACCCAAGACAGAATACTGATGAATATGGTATCTAGTACTACTTGGATTTTTTTTTTGCTTAAGGAACCAACATGAACCAACCAGAAAAAAGAAAATCATCCCCCGGTTCGGAGATTCACCCAATTCGGGACACTCAAAATCACCCTATCCGCACAACAGCAGTTCACAGACAGATCATCTGTTGCCTGCCACCTATATGCCATAGAAGCATCACACAAACGTTATTGGATGGTAAGCATATGGTGAGGGGGGATATAAGCCACCCAAACCGACCCAAACTGTATGCTGGTCCATTGGCAACTCACGGCCCTGGATGGCCCTGGATGGCTCAGGGGCTACCAAGCGCGGCAGCATAATCTCGACCCCATGTTCATGCAAACATTCCGTATGTCAACCTTGGGGAAAGGCTTCAAGTGCTTTCCAGCTTGGATTTGCTGTCCAGGACCCGGGAGGAAGTAAAACATCTTCCCAGAATCCCCAGAAGGTAATTCAACCAGCTCGGGGGAAAACATACACATCGCCCGAAAACCCCAAAAACCAATCCAGTCAGCTTTCCAGTCACTGAGCTTTCCCCCAGTTCCAACACTTTCTTCAAGTGCCACCTGTGAGCTTCATGTAGACTGTTGATGAATAAAATCCCCAAAAGGGCCCCCAGATATGGATTCCAAAACCTATATGATGGATTGATGAATCAACCGTTTACACGACTGACCTTTCTGCCCCTTTGCCTTCTGTGTTTCAAATCCCAAACAACGTCCGTCGTAGACCGCTCCAGCACTACCCTTCCCTCCAGTCGCCCGAGCGCGCTCGGCTCCCCCCGTGCGCCCTTCGCGGCGCCTGAGCGTCTTCCAGAATTCGCCGCGCCGCGAACTTCCTCTGGAAGGTCCGCTGGGCCTTCTGCACGTAGCGCGTGAGGCCTTCGCTGTTGCTGAGCAAACGGCGAAGCTCCACGCTCCAGGACTCCAAAGGGAGCCACATGTTCCTCAAGTCGACGAAGGTCGGAGAGGAACTGATGATGTCCGGTATGCCAGGTATCCCCTCAAGATTGGGGTATCCCCTCAAGATTGGGGTATCTCACCAAAACAGCCGGGCCCAGTGGATGATGATGGTAGCATGTAAAAGCCTTGTTCAAACATAGTGGTCATCGTTTACCAACTGTTACTGGTCATGGGACAGACCCGACCTCTATTGATCCAGTCGACTCGGCCGAGGCGATCCCGGCGGGGTGGCGGGTTGAAGCTGCGGTCGGTCAGGAGACCCAGAGGGTCCGATGCCTCAGAGATCTAGGTCATTAGCAGTCCAAGATGAGACCATTCCACCAGGAGGGGGACATTAGGGGTGGGTGTCCAAGGGTTCATTCACTCATGCTGTTTTCCAAGCGAATTGGTGATGTTAGGACAGGGTCTGTGATAACATGGTCCCATGCTTGAGGGTCTTCCAAATGCTATCCTTAAATTGTTTTAAGACACACAAAGAATACACATTAAGCACTATAAATGAAAAAGACTAACAATTAAACGTCGCTCCTAGCTAATCCCAGCTACTTCTCCACATAAACAATGCCATCATAGGCTTCTGCGTCCAGTTGATTGATCTCTTCAGTGACCACGAAAAAGCCCGCGCTCCTCGCTGGACATGCAGGGGATGGCTATCCGACGTCATTCTTGAGCTGCGGAATTCAGGGATCAAAGTTCCGAATCGCAACAAGACCAACCCTCGAAAACAAGCAAGTCGCAGGTAAGTTCTGCCAGTCGCGCCCAAAAACCAGAAGTTGCCATTCGAAGACATCGTAGGGGTTCGACTGTTTCTAAAGAAATCCCTTGTTGTCCCAAACAAGTTCAATTTTCTTTGGTGTGCCCAGGGCGACAAACAAACGAAGCAGACTTCCGGATCCAAAGAACCCAGGGGTCCATACCCATCCTATGTCCGCTGAAACTCACGTGGGCGTTTCACGGAACCCCGTCCGACAGAGTGGGGCAAGGGTAGATGAAGCAACCGACCAACCCACCCACGAACCTCCAACTCTCCCGTGTTTTGTTGCAGATGGATGCGACGTCATTGGTAGATTCCAACCCAAAGGCCCAAAAACAGGTGAAAGAAAAAAGTGAATCGAACGCAGCTCACCATGCGAATCGAACGCAGCTGACAGTGCGAGACAGTTCGAAGGTCCACAACCTCCACGAAGGAATCCTTGCAGGTCACCTTCCGGGTCTCCCAAATGGCCAATAAAGCTAAGGGGAAGCTTCAAGGTGTCCAAAATGAGTGACCGGTGCCAAAAGGAAAGCTCCCTCAAATGACCTAATGTAGACTCTTGACTAATAATGCCCCCATTTGGATTATATTACTATACATATATATATAATATACTCATAGGATCTCATAGGTTTTTAATGTCAATGGTCGACATTAATTATATGATTATGATGATTATGCATCAAACGAGGCGCATGGGTGGGGACGGGGCTGGGGAGGGAAGATGGAGGGGAGCGAAAATCGGATCCTTCCGCTTCCCAAAAGGGCAGGCCCTTTTGTTCAAGGCCATCGTGGGCACCACTCCACTTGCGACCCGAAAGGTTCAAACACGTTCAAAACAACATGGATTTCCCCACCAACAGGTCCAAGCGTCAAGAGCCCTGAGATTCGGACAGTTTCCAAGGGTTTCTGCTCTTCAGGTCGACTCTGGTTGTTGCAATCCTGCCACCGCGGCACCGAAGCGGCACCGAACGGCAGCAAAGCGGCCCTCCGTCAAAGCGGCGGAAACGGCGTTCGGCTGCCAAAAGCAGCTCCGAAGAAGCATGGGTGTTTGAAATCCCTATAGATCCACGTACCGAATCTGAGAAGGTGAGGAAGGGAGGGTCCAGTCATACCTTCTGAGGTACGGTGGATCCATAGGGTGAAAGGGTGTGTTCCTAAAGGGTGTAGAACTGGAGGATGGATGCGCCGAGGATGGTTAATGTAGACTCTTGATCAGAGCCCGACCCAGTTGAATTGAAAAAAAAAGACATTTTGCATGTGATGGCTCTAAATCAAGAGTCTATATTAGTGCGAACAAAACATCCAAAAAACCTAGCTAGGCCATGACTAATCGACTTCGCCCCATCTTGTGATCCGAAGACCCATCCGAATCCTGGACTGCCAGGAGGACCTCCAGCCAGCGAGGACTTTAAATGAAATCGCGCAACAGCTAGCAAGACCCGAACACAGAGGTTGCTATAAATAGCCTCTTGACGTTTTCTCATTTTGAGTTCTTCTCATTTTGTTGATCACTACTCTGGTTGATGCAGTCTGTTCATCACGTCTTGGATTTTCAGGACCTGTGTCAAAACACACCAGACAACGCGCGCGGGTGGTAGCTTGCAGAAAACTGCTGGCACCCAGGTAAACCGGGCAGTGGCAGCCAGTTGCTGCAAGTGGCTGCCAAAGCAAGTGGCTGCAAAATGGAAAACCACTCAACCTCCCTCCACCTCCACCTCCCTCCACCTCCACCTCCACCTCACCCTCCACACCTCCACCTCCCTCCACCTCCACCACCTGCCTCCCTCCACCTCCACCGCCTCCTCGTCCTCCTCCCCCCTCCACCTCCCTCCACCTCCACCTCCCTCCACCACCCTGTCTCACTATCGCCCACTCTCTCTCACACTCTCACTCACTCTGACTCACTCTCCTCCTCTTCTTCTTCTTCTTCTTCAACAGCTGAGCGGCGGACCGTCCTTGTCTGCCCTGCCTATCTGATCATATGCTATTGGGCCGTCTGCCTGCCGTCCTCCCACCTCCTCCATCGCCTCCTCGTCCTCCTCTCCACCTCCTCCACCACCCCCTCCCACCTCCACCTCTCTCCACCTCCACCTCTCTCCACCTCCACCTCCCTCCACCTGCACCACCTCCAACCTCCTCGACCGCCACCTCCTCCGCCACCTCCCCGCTTTGAAAGCTAAACGCATAAAAACATGTAAAAACGAATAGAGGCAATGCATCGAAATCCATGCAAATGGCAAGGCCAGTGTGCAAGGTGAAGACTGTGATGTGAGCATGGGCGGATGGACAAGTTTATTGCAAGACGTGAATTGCACGTGAGCTTGCACTCCATGAGTGATGATGTGATCATCTGAACGCTGCAGTGAGGACTTTGAATGATGAAATCTGTGGGTGATCGCGTGTTTGTATGATGGCAGTGGCGCTCACCAATCAATGCGTTGGTTGATGTACACTTTGCACAAAATCTTTCTGCAACTCTCTGATGCATCCAATTTCTTCACTCCAGCCAGACATGTCATACTATATATAATTATGTTTAAACAAATTAGTCATATATAACATATTGAAACCAGCTGAGACGTCGCGCTGGAGCAAAAACGTCAAAAAGAACCTACCTATATACCGAACACATGGGCGATTTACCAGACCAGCATGTAAATGGACAAATCTTGCCTGAGCGGAAGAACAAAGCATGGTCGCATGGTGCAAACGTCATCTGGACGAGGCCCATGTACAAGTCGGCCATGTAGTCTTGAACAGAATTCTCTCAACAGTGGCGGCAACCGGCTGCCCAAGTGGCTGGAGACTCAGAGGGTTTTCGTGCAGCCATGGAGAATATTCAGACTTCTCCGTCGCCAGCTCTGCAGAAATCCCGGGTTTTCTCCAGAGCTGTGCGCGGAGAAATCGTGATATTCTCCAGACAGCTCAATGAAATTGTATGCATTATTGGAAGTATCCGAAATTACGATGTCGGAAACAGTGGTTTAGATTGGTTTAAGTTTAGGTCAATGGTCGAACAACTCACATGTTGCATGATTTACTGGGGACAATGGACAACAGCATTGTAACATTGTAGGTAAACTGTTCTTCGATGATCTTGCTGAAATCTTTCATATGTGTCAAACCTTCATCTTGATCCCACGACCTGTCCTGATGGATGTTGAAGAAAGCCAAGTTGGGATTTGCTGTTAAACTCCTGAAGGGGTGTGCGAGAACACATCTTGACAAGGAAGGGCACAGAGAGGTGTGAAACTTCATACTCTGGATGGGGGCAATTGTCGAACATGCCAAAACAATGTTCCCCAAAACGGTCTTTGGTGAGTATCTGTATCTGTGACACTATGAGCGAAAACGTGACATTGGAAAGGAATAGTTCTATTCAAATAAAACAAACGTTTTCGGGAGACGAGTTGTCAATAGTTTTCAATTCTAAAACGCAATGAAAAAAAACGAGCGATTGAAAAACGGTGATTGATACTTGGTTTTCCATACCATAGTGCAGGTTCTTGTTGAGGATGTTTGGGGTGGTCATACGGGGGTGTTCTTTTGGGACCGCAAACACTTAGCCCAAACCAAATCTTGGATCCTCCCGCAGGGTGACTGAGGAATGTAGCGATCGAATAATCCGATGGTCCGTGTCGGCGGGTTGTGCATTTTGATGTGAATGGAAGAGGGAACTGATTTTGTCACCTCTGATCAATTTGGGAAATGACACAGTCCACTGAATATACGTATGATCTGATCAACCACCAGGACCTGAGCCGTTCGTGACCTCTTTGGAGTTTCTGTTTGTTTCTGTTTGTGACGATTTGCAGGCCTTTTCGTGACCGAACATCCTGGGATCTCAAATGATGGCCACTGTGAAGGTCTGGCAGATGGTGAGACAAAAGAGATCTCTTTTAACGAAGGACAGAAGATGATCGAAGTATTCTGACAACATCAAGTCTGGACATGCAGTGGCTAGCCCTGTCTATAAACACTGAAAGGACCGCTGATTCAAAGGGAGAAGAAATCTTCTCCTTCCGCATGTAGCCTGCCATGTTTCACCACACGCAACCAGATTCAAGACAAATGTCCTGCAAACTCATCGACGACTAAGAGGCGACGCACCGAGACTTGCTCAGCGGAGAAAATCCATGAAAATCCTTCCTTCGCACCGCTTTTCGTCACCGACAGAGAGTCCGTCGAAAGCGCATTGCTAGTCCCGTCTCTGCTTGTTCGCGGGCGATCGGCCGCGGCTTTGGATCGGACTGGATCGGATAGCCGTTGGAGAAGCCAAGAAGAAGCGCAAGCTTCGGTGGTCTTTGCGGAGCAGGCCTCAAAAGACCCTTCAAGACCATGTCCAACACTGTCCAAACCAAAACACTGTCATGTCCAACCAAAGACCCTTAGGACAGCAGGCAGACCCTGAGGACTCCTCCATTGCTGAAGATTCCAGGCATGATAGCTCCTTGGATTCGGGTTCCACGACAGGGGGACTTGCACGACAAGAGCCTCTGGCCCTACACTTGGTTTGTCTTGGGAACCACTGGTGGCCTGCTCACTCAATAGTATGCCAAAAGTATTCAGTGCGTAGCTTAGCAGCTTCAGCACGCAGCACGCGCAACGCTGCGTGCCAGCATTGTCGAATGTCTTTGAAAACCTGTACCTAAAATATACACTTATATACACTATTTTTTGGTTCCTACACACACCAAAATTGTTAGGTCTGAACCAAAGGACCGGTGGCACAAGAACGCGCCAATGCATTCCCGTGATCCGAAGCCATTCCATGCATTCCAGGACCGGTGTTCTTTCGGGTCACCATGAAAGCAGGACGCTCTCGCTGGCAGACCGCTTGTTCGTTCGTGTCTTTCAGGTTGCTTCGGACACGCTTCGGATTCGATTCTCTTCCCCCCCAAATGCCAAAAACCTCCCAACGAGATCATGCCAAACATCACAGAATGACATGCCCCTTCTCATCACAGTGGCTTGACCTCCCAGTTAGGTCAACCAGTCGGCATCCGGGTGGCATGGACCCACGGCCACCTTCTCAGTTGTTCAAGCACGTGTTTTCACGCCAACGGTTCCTGGTCGGCCAATCCATGCACTGCCACCCCATTCCCCCCAAACAGCCTGCCCGGACGTGTGGTCGGCCAATTGGGCGCCAAGAATCTCCAACTTTGGGAAGAGCTTCTGCAGGTGTTCCAGGCACTCCAAACGTCTCCTGGGGAGGTCAAGCCATGGGGCCTCTTGCAAGAAGCGGCACCACGCCCCGGTTCGGTCCAACTCACCTGGTGAACCAGAAACGACAAGAGCTCACAGGGTTCACCGTGAGCGATGACAGAAGTCCATCGTGACAGGGTCCGTTTGTTTTCCTCGCTCTTCCACCTGCGAGAGATGCGGCCGAGGCTGATGCGGCTGTATTAAAGCCAAAAAACCACATAAATATCCCAGGGAGTACCCAGGTAGCACTAATCTGTAGGGGGAATTTTAAAGGGGATACATAAATTAGCCTTAAAAACTCAGGAGCTGACAGCCGTTCCTGACCTCGTTTGGAGTCTCCGAGTCTCCAAGTGACGTGATTATACATCCTATTTATATGTGACCCGGCCTTTTCGTGATGAAAAGAACTGGCCACTGACTGAAGGTTCTGAGGTGGCGTTGATGGGACAGGTATATATGGAAGGGCCATTGGTGATAGGAGCCAGTGGTATGACGCGAATTCATTCTGCTTTTCAGGTGTGCATCTTTTTGCAGTCCTTGTTCTTCCCTGTGGATCCACTGCCACCTTCTCAGAAGGTATGACTGGGCCCTCCTGGTGACATACATAGTCTCCGTCCTCACCTTCTCAGGTTCGGTATGTGGATCCATAGCGTATGGTTGGTTCATGAAGCATGCTCCAGCATGCTTCTCAGGAGTTCTCGTTGATCTTCCAACCCTTCTGAGGCAAAAAAGGACCGGTAGAAGCATGACAGGTAGAGGTTTGGCCAGACACTAAGCAGACACAGTTGGCCCATCCAAGTCTGTTGCTCCAAGTCTTGAAAATCCTCCCTTGCTGCATGGACCGCATCACTCACAGGACGACGTGCGCGCGCTGGTGGCGTGCCACCCACCAGCCCACCAGCTCCTTTGCATTCCACCAACGGCGCCAATGAAGCCCCAGTGCAGCTCCGAAGCCTGCGTGTTCGGTGCATCACAAGCAGGTGAGGAAGAAACCTCCGAACCAAGACTGTTACACTCCCTGAAAGGTTTGGACCTGTATCTAGGTAGGGTGGACCGTTTTTGCTGTATACGGTCACGCCCAACTTCTGCACAGACCCAGACCGTGTTGAGTTCGGCAGGGTGGTGCGCGGCGCCGGGTTGCCGACGGGAAGCTGGCGCCAGGTCCCAGTTAGAGCGTGGTGGGTGGTGGGACCCACACTCCTCTGAAACCATATGGAAGAGGGAGTGAACTTCGAGCCACGTCGGTTCCCAAAGAACCACCGAGGAGGTCCCGTCGGTGTACCGAGGAATTGGGAGAAACGATTCTCAACGTTCCGCAGCACTCGTCTGAGCAGTTGTGTGGTTCCCTCTATGAAGCCGATGTGAATACCGATGTGTCCCAGTTTCTGGAAGAAAGAACGTGTTCCGAATCACCTGGAAGAGAAGGAAGTACCCTGGAATCTGGAACATGACATTGACATGACCTCATGTGATCCCATCTACAGTACCCATGTGATCCCATGCTCATCCCTTTTCTGGGGTTCAACTGGTTCAACGATGACTCTCCCATGTGATCCTCCGTCCAATGTGGACCCACAGCCGGACCAGTCGGGCTGTGAACTCACGGAGCGTCTGGGTGGAAGTGGAGTTCGCCCCATGGTCCACTTTTTGGACCATGGATTCTTGGGCCAGTTCACCCCATGGAAGTATGGTATTGAGGATTTCCATGGTCCATGTTCATCCACCGCTTGGCCATGGTTCATCCGGTTTGAAAGAGACGTCGATCCGGTGAGTTCGTGTCGATCCGGGGAGTTCCTTCATGTACATCACAAATGAGTTGCTGCAGCGTGTGCCATGGTAGGGCGGGCTTGACCCGTCAGGTCGACGACCGGCAGGTCGTCATACCTTCCTCGAACCTATGAGGGTTTGCCGTGATGACAAGGCGGTTGTGGATAGGTCCAAATGTTGGAATGCGTATGAACCCAGGACACCCTAAGGGGTGTCTTTTGATAGCCCCTTAGAGGTGATTCGGGGTGTTCATTAACCACCCCTTGTGGGTCCTAGTATGTTCAGCAGATTTGATCCAAAATCCGAAAAAAAACACTGTCGCCAGCCACGGACATCCGTGCTTCAGAACCAGTCGCGTGACGGTCTGAAGAAACACAAACGGTTTTCAAGAAAAGGGCATTCCAAGACCCGTGGAAGCAGGAAAATAGGCCCAAATCCACCCCCAAATCCTGTTGGGATTCGGGATCTCCCTATGTTATTGCCTTTTCTTCAGTGGCCTTTTCACATGCTGGAGCCCCAAGCAAGGGTTTGAAAAGGGGTGCTTACTACATCGCAGGCAGGGATCATTCAAAAGAACACACTGTTAAGAGTTACGAAGTAGAACAACCCTAATTATAGACAAAAAGAAAAGACAAACTTAAATGTATATATGTATATAATGCATGTATACACATGTCTTCATCAAGGATCATCTCTGTGACCAAATGTCCACACTGACCACCACCATAAGAAACACTGAACATCAATCGAACCCTTCTTAGCCCATTCGCAGATGTTCTTCCTTCTTCGTGCTCGTTCCTCTTCCGAAACCTCATAGCTCTTCGCCACGGACTCTTCCTTCACCACAAAGCCCGGTGGCACGAAGCGCACCAAGGGCGGCTCCACCAGAGCCCCCGCTGCTCGGTTCCACAGCTGGGATGCCGCCGGGAAGCTCCTCGACGAGCTTCGTCCGACCCCGGAGAGATTGGTAATTGGAAGACTCGAAGATGGACGAGGTAGTTGGCATGCCTGCACCTGGTACACCGTTACCCACATGGAACCGTTACGACCGGCATGGAAACTGGAAGACGATATTTTCATCTACAACCCGGTTTTCAGGTTCCATGTGAATTTTCCAGGGTGTAATCCATACATGTGAGAACGATCAACTCTGTGGTGATCCACGAAAAGAAAAGGACCACATCCAAATATGTATATATCGACAAGGGAGACCTCTCAGGCGTTCCGACTCCCTGGAAGAAAAGTAGACCAGTTTACCCATTGGGGTGGTTTGGGGTTTCTTATTAAAAGCCACATGGTTTCGCTTCCCATGCCCTCCCTCTATCTCATCTCCTATCCGACCGTTCAAACAGCGGCGACCGGCACTTGGATCCCATCTCACCTGCGCAAACGGCCACTTGGCTTGGCTCGAAATCCATCCACCTACCCAAATCGAAAAAAAATAGGAGAACACCAAACGCCCAGCATCCACAAGTTGCCATGACCTCGCGCTCGCGCTCGCGCTCGGATCGTGCCCGTGGTGTTCCTTTATTTCGGTTCGGCGTCCGATGTCTAGGCGTGTCCAACGTAGCGTGGGGCGCTGCAAGCGGTAGACGTGCGGCGTTTCAGACTGTAGGAGTCACGCGTGAAGGACGCGGGAAGGCTAAGGTAGACGGAAAGACGATTCGTCTGCACCCAATCGAAAGGAAAGGTCCTACCAGTCGTAGGCTCTTGTGGCATCTTAAAGACTCAGTTCCAACGCAACTGGACGTGACTGGAGGTTGTTTGTGGTCCATGAGAAGCTGAACCAGGTCGAGGGGGTGACAAACATGTGGTGAGTCTCTTGTGGCGGGTTGAAACTGGTTTCGCTGGCACCTCAGCCCACCCTGATCCGAACGGGTGGAACGCACCGAGGCACTGAAAGGACCGAATAGATTCTGCCGTGTCACGTGTCTTTCACGGGTGAATGAAAAAGCAAAATGGAGCAGAATGGTTTTCCTCCCAGACCATAATAAGCTACCTTAGGGTCATAAATAGGGTGAATGCATGTAAATGCATGAGACCTTTTCCTGTCCCATGGACGGTCTGGGTCTGGATGTGGGAAGTCATGTCATGTAAGGCATTTGGGTCATTATCAAGAAAAGTGACATTCGCCATGTCAATGGCCACCTTGGCTACCAGCTCGGCGCACTTGCCTGGAACAAGAATGCCAAGCAGCTGTAGGTCCAGATTTCGCAGACTCCTTGACCCAAACTGGGCTTGGGTGCTGGCTCCTCGGTCTTTTCAACAAAAAGGAGCATGCAACGTTCGAACCGCGGTTGCCTTGGAACATGTGGTGCATGGTGCGCGGTGAACCGCGCACCAGCACCACCTAGGAACCGGGTGATGATGTTAAACACATGGTGAGGAGGGTCTATAAACCACCCAAACTGGGTGGTGCTTGTAATTGGGTGGGTAATTTCACTGGGCCATTGAATTGTCGGTCACAGAAGCCAAGTGGTTCACTGGTCATTCGCCGGGCTTTGAGCAGGGTTCGTTGGAGTCCCCTGGTGGCAAACCTGCACATTCTGCTCCACACCTGGCGAGACCTGCGCTATTTGGACAGACCACACTGAGAAAACCCTCCAGGGTCTCTTCCTCCACTGATTTGTCATTCGTACCTGGAAGTAGAATGGTGTTTCACTGGGTGCCGACAGGACATCCTGTCCCGATTCGCAGTCCACCTTTGGGACCTTTGGACTTACTCTTCATGACCCACTAGCAACCACACGACGGCGCATGGATCATAGATTGCTCCATATATTTGATACAGTTACAGTTATTTGCATTTTTCTGGACTTACAACAGCATAGATTGGTTACAGTATTTTCAACTTACTTGCTCAGGTCGCATGACCCACTAGTAACCACATGCAACCACCATACAAGCACAGATCATCGATTGCTTACCATATACTTGATGGATTTGCCTTGGACCCACACTTTTGTCGCCACATTTCGACTAAGCCTCCAAGAACATTTCGATGCAATACACCTTGCGCCGCGCGAAGGTCCTTCGGCACAGCTGCACAAAGTCTCCTCGCCCTTCCTTAAACAGGCTCTCGAGCCGACGGGCCGACGGGCCGGTGTCGGCGGAAGAGGTTTTTAACATCGCAGTGGTGGGCTGCGCAGTCTGAGCTGCGCAGTCAGGTTGGAAAAGAAGAATCACCAGTTTGTTGAAGAGATGTTTTTCAGAGATGGTCTCGGTGCTCCGTCCAATCGAAGCGTCCAGAAAGAAAGAAAGAAAGAAAGATGGTCTCGGTCTCGGTGTCTCACGACATCGGGTGTCTCGGATCTTGCGCATCTGTCTGCCGACGATGTCTCAGATGGTCCCTTGGGACGGAGGCGGCGCCAGGCGCCGGATCGTCGAACCGGGCAGAGTCGAACCTGTTCGCCCCTGGCCGGGGGCTTCACTGTTTGACCCTCATAGACCCTGGCGTCATGGCGTTGGAACCATATGTATATATATGTATATATGCTACCCCCACCCAAATGTCTACCTTTGTGGTTTGCTTGCACGGGTTTAGATCCAAAAATATACGTAAAACACTGTAAATTTATATAAACACTAAAGGAGGTAGACATTTGGGGGGGGTACCATATATATATATACCTGGACCATCCAATGGGTATCCAATGGAGATGATCCTTAGGTACGACCCGCAGTGTAGAGTAGTCCATTGGACACCCAGACTGGATGGTCCTGGTATGTGAACCATATTCAACGACATGATCAGCGTGTTTCTTTCTGGTCGCAGGATTTGCCTCCGGGTGAAGTAAACCACCGAACGAATGGTCCGGTCGCAGATTCGCCTGGGGGTGCGGTCACTAATAAGGGTTCCTATACGCACGGGTTCTAAGGGGTCAGACCAGCGTTTCGTCTCGGTTTCCCAGAGTTACCATGCTTCACGGATGACAAGACTCGGGCAAGAAAATGTGCGGGCATGATCTTCTAGACTCGTATATGTAGTGTCGTAGCTTTTTAGGGAGGTTTGCATATACTTATAAAAAGTAATGCAAACCCCGGATTAATCTGCCCCCCCCCCCCACATAGAAGGTCAACAAGGTCAAGAAGGTATGAGATACCACTCATGAGGTCCACTCCCCCTGAATAATGTGCTATGAGACCTTTGGACCATGAAGGTTTGAGAGGGGATGAGCTTGAGGCTAGAGTCCTGGTGAGAGGAACAGTCTATAGGACCAGTGATGAGAGTGAGAGGAATTGGCTGGTAACATTTGGGCGCAGCATGCAGTGAGAGTGGCTGAATGAGCAGCATGAGGTGAGACTTGCTGAATGAGCAGCATGAGTTGAGAGTATAATGTCAAGTCAGGATAAATAAACCTCCACTAGTTAACCCCTTATTAAAAACAATATTGTTTTTTTGGGGATTGTGTAGGCTCGGATTAACTGGGGGGGACTGTTGGTAGAAAACTAGACCATAGGGGGGGAAATCAACAGCCAATAATACTTTTAATTTGGGCAATTTTCGGCGGCTTTGTGGCGGGGGATTTATTAATCCTGACTTTGCATTATAGTATATGACTTTGTACTATGTGTAAAAGTGCAGACTGTGACGCCCTCTATATTACACTCCTCTTGTTTGTGCGTGAATAGTTACCGGCGGCGATTTCGTCGCCCAATTGCGGGACCTGGAACCACAAAGAACACAGTCATGTTCGTCGGTGTCCCCCAAGCAACCAAATGAAACATCAGACTTGGATTGGGCGAAGGAATCCTTAAGAAACAAACAATTAAGACACACAAAATAGAGGAAACAATGTGACGGCAGCCAGAAGGGGACTCACCCAGTTCGGGAAAATGATATTTTCATCCTATCATACTAAGCGCTTAAGCAAGTTTAAGATCAGAATCCTCCCAAACCATGCAAATTGTCTGCTTCAAGTCTCGCTCAGTTCAGACTCTGCAGACTGGTTAAAACATGTTATATAAAACAATGTTTGACTGAGGATTTTACGGCACACAACCAGCTCAACCTTCCCAGACAGGCTATTCCAGTCCCAGACAGGAAGGCTGTTCCAGTCCCAAACAAGTCGTGTCTAACGATATCTCCCCAAACCACAAAGTGTCCGTCGTCCCTGACGGCTCAAGCGCGCAAGCGGCGGAAAAAATGGCGCGCCCAGGCTCGAGTCCAATGTGAATGAGGACGTCTCCCCTGCGCATTTGCACCGGGTACTTCCCATTCTCCGTGTCATTGTCCGGCACGTGGACGAAGGTCTTGTAGCCACATTCCTCCTCTCGGCTTCGCAAGCCTTCCAGCAGCGTCTCTCGGACGTTGCGGTACATCCAGCTGAGCTTTTGCTTGGACACCTCGAGTGCGGCGATCCATCACGATGGGAGACATCACAGGCGTGGAAGGTTCTGGAAATAGACTATAATCTACCCATTTTTCATTGGGCCAGGGAGTCTCCTATATCACCATTTTTCTGTTATAAAACTCTACAAACATCTTGAAACCTCTTTCCAAGTAGCCTTGCGCTCCCCCTGAGTGATCAGAATCTTATACTGCCTTTGCCCCGCTTCGCAGCGCAGGCCCGGATAGCAACACCGCGGAAGCGGCGTCGCAGCTTCCGCTTCGGCCGCTTCGGCCGCTTCGCTCGGCGCACCCAGCAGGTCCGGGTCGCGGACCGGTGGCGGACCGAGCGGCACCTGGAGCGTGGACGCATCGCCGAGGGTGAGGAGTAGACCTGAAAAAGAGGCTGAAATCCCCACGGTGTTTTTCAGGTGGTGGATGCGCTGGTCCGGTGAAGAAAAACTGTCATGACACAAGCAGAACATACACGCTCCAGGCACCACCATATCTCTCTCATTTGATCAATGACCGTGCGCTTTCAGAGGTGTCGAAGTCCTCTTCCAAACTGCGGGGATGGCAAAGCAGTGGAGGACAGCACACCTTCTGACTGGCATCCACCCAGTGACGCTCCGCTCCGTGTGATTTCCCCCTTTGGTCGCTCCAAAGCCTCGGGAGGTCCTCTTCGGGTCCCAACACCCCCGGTTCTCCCGCCCGAGCGATCGGAGCACGTCCCACCCGGCTCTCCGATCGCAATGGTCGGAGACCTGTGTCTATATAATATATTATATATATACTATATATATTAATATATATATATATAATATTATATATATAGTATATATTATATATATACTATATAAATAATATTATATATAGAAATTATATGTATATATATATGTTGTATACAGTCCGGTCCGGTGCTGTCGTGGAGTGGGGATGATGTTGGATGTGCGCCGTGGACAGGAGACTTCTGGGATGGTGGGATGGTCTTCTGTTGAGTGGATTCACCCTGTGGATGCTCAAGCACCTCTCCATGCTTTTAGGATGACACGCACAAATCACAAGTGCGGATCGATGCTTTGGCTCAAGAAACAGGACGTGCTGAGCGTCTTGTCTGATTTGGCTTTGCACATCCTTAGGTTGTGAGCCCAAACGGGTTCTGTTTGGCAGCCTAGGAAGTCCACCCGGTGTTGACCGGCTGCTGGTCCCCATGGAGCAGCGGCGAAGACGGCAGCAGCAAAGATCCCGCGAGCGGAAGGGACAACCTGAGGGCCAAGCACCTGTAGACCAAGGACCAAGCTTGGAAATTGGTGCACCTAACCGACGCCTGGACTCGCTCATTGAGGCCGAGCTGCGATCGAAGGCAGCTAGAGCGCAATCAGTGCCTGTGGCGGCTGCGGAAATGAAGCGACTGAGCGCGTAAGCGGCGGGACAACGTCATGGAGACCAACCTGCTGCCTCGGCCTCGAGTGGAAGTCAGAGGATGCCGGATGTCAGGCAGCTACTTGTGGATCCTCGAGGGCAAGCACTTGGAATTGGACAAGTGCAGGAGGCTGTCCGCCAATCGGTGGAGGTGCTTCAGCATGCCTTTCAGAGGCCAGTGCAACCAGCTTTAGCGCCCACACTACTTGACCCTCTTCTTCGGCCTGGCGATCATGGAGGTCATGTCGGACCAGGTCTTAGCGTTCTTCCTGGGCACGGGCTGGCGGATCCTGGAGTTCCTGGAGGACAAGGCATTGGTGGCCTCCCTGGCCATGGACTGGCAGCAGGCACTCCGCTGCGGTCAGGTGAGCAGGAACGAATGGGCATGTCTACCTCCTCGTGTCTTGGAGCCCTATGGAGCTACCCCAGTTGGACCCTTGGGAACGGTGAATCCATTTTGGAGTACCAACATTCAACAGGCTGCAAAAGGTGAGGGGCATGTTCGAATGGCAGCGCAAAGCTCAGGACATCCTCAACAAAGCCCTGGTGTTGGTGACGTTGAACGTCTTCGGGAGCGAATTCTTCGTGACGCGGAGGAACAGTTTGCTCGGGAGCTCAAAAAGATGTCGGATGGTGATTCGGCTTCATTCACCTCAGTGCGCAGTGCTGGAGGAGAACATCGACGTGATCACCAAGGAGGAGATCAATTGAAGGCTGGAGGAGGACCGCCTGAGACACCTCCTGGGACAACCGCCGGACCATGGACCTGCTCTCCAACCTACTTTGATGAGGACAGCTGAATCTGTCACCGCTTCGCTTCCAGAAGCTATGAGGAACTTGGAGCTTCCACAATTGCCTTCGCCTTCAGCGGAGAACGCAGCTTTGTTGTTTGGGGATTGGCTCACGGTCATCACACCCCTGATGGGAGACTTGAGCACTTCATCAAAGGAGTTTTGGGAATGGGCGCAGCGCGAGGTTGAGATCAAGTACAATGAATGGCTCCTGGCTTCACCGCTGGCTCGACTACGAATTCGAGTTGAAGAGCAGGTGTCCCCACGGTTCCAGCGCTTGGACCAGAGCGCAAGCTCGACCTTGTTGGCCGCACTTCCCGACCCTGTGAGAAGAGACATTGTGGCGATTCGAAAAGTGGCTACCCAGGCCATTCTGTACAAGCTCTTCACAATCTACCAGCCTGGTGGAAATGCTGAACGAGGCAACTTGCTTCGCAGCCTGACTGAGGTCAAGTGTGGCCACTCCATCCGGGACACCTTGAGCGCTATTCGAATGTGGCGCAGATGGCTTTGTCGAGCTGAAGAGTTGCACATCGGCATCCTGGACTCAATGGTCTTGATTCAGGCCTTGTCCAAGATTGCGGAGAACCTCACCAAGCAGGGAGGAAGTCAGGTGAGATTTCGAGTTGCAGCCGCTCGACAAGAACTTGAAGTTGATCGCAGGCCCACACTGGAGACCCACCAAGGAGTTTGCAGAGTTCCTACAAGCAGAAGCGGAAGATTTGGCGTTGACTATGCCTCAGCCGCCTTCTACAAAGACTACCAGTCCTGCAGCCGGCACGCAACCTGCGGGGGGAGCTCAACCAACGATCAAGGCCTTGGGGGGAGGATATGGCAGTGGAGATGGGCAACAGAAACCAAAACAGGCGTGCCGCTACTGGGGTAGTTCAGCTGGATGCAAGCGTGGTGAATCTTGCACCTTTGCAAACTCCTGGGAGGGCATCAACAAGACGGACGGGTGTTTTCACTGCTCCGGGGAGAACCACTTCGCCAAGGCATGCCCATATGGTCGAGATCGACCTGGGAAAGATGGGAAGAAAACGGCCAGGGAGAAAACAGAAGAAACCAGTAAGCCCGGGACTTCATCGACGACACCAACGACGCCAACCTTACCAGCTTCACCGTCCAAGGAGGATGAGAAGAAGGAAGGGGGGTCTGCTGGAGGTGGAAAATCGGAGGACCCGGCCAAGGAGTTGATTGTGGAAGCGACTTCATTGTTGAAGACATTGCGGGCCATGAAAAGGGTCTAACTGAAACAGGTGAGCATGGATCGGGGCGACACTGCCAACGATCGCTTCGCTTTGCTGGACGGCGGCGCGACACACGCGTTGCGAGTTGCTCACCAACATGAACGTGATGATTTGCGTCCAGTGGAAGTAGAGCTGGCACAAGGCACCACCACCTTATACAAGCATCCTAGCCACAGCACGCTCCTCTCGTTGACGGAGGTTGAGCCCATCATCCCCTGCAGTCTCTTGCTTGAGAAGGGCTTCACTATTTCATGGAGGAGAACAGGCTGTTCTGTTCGACATGCTGACCATGGAGAAGTAGCATGTGTGTTGAGGCATGGGTGGCCGGTGATGGATCGTCAAAGCGCTCTCTCGATGCTGGATAGGTTTGAGGCGGAAGAGAAGGGAGCCAATGAGTTGGACGCCGAGCAGTTGGCTTGGTGGGGCACCCACTTCGCGGAAGTACCACCTGAGGTGCTACGCTACATGGGGGGCCAAGGGCGAGTACCGGAACAGCCTCCATGGAATAGGAGAACGAGGCGAACTCACGCCAAGGCTAAGGGGGTGATCGTCAACCTCTTTTGCGGTCCAAATCCCAAAAAATGGAGTGGAATTGGAGGTGATTCCTTTGTTTGGCTGCACTTGGACACCTTGCTGGGCTCGCAGTACAGTTTGCACAATCCACAGGTGTGGAGCTATGTTTGGGGGTTGGCTTTGAAGGGCCGGGTGGCCGCGATCTTGGGCGGCCCGCCCTGTCGCACCGTATCGAGGATGCGGAACAGCGCTTCACCAGGGCCGAGGCGACTCAGGGGCAGGGGTGCACATCGATGGCATCTACCTCACCTTCAGGACTATGAACTCAACCTGGTGAACAGTGATACGGCCCTCTGCCTGAAGCAGATGGCACTATGGGTGCGTTCGCAGGAACGCAAACGCTGGAATCAAGATGTTGGAATGCTATTGGAATCTCCGCAGGGCCCAGCTTCCTACTTGAAGGACGAGGAGGAGGTGAAGACCGCACCATCCTTTTGGAGCTTCCAGGAGATCACGTCTTGGCTTATACATTTTGATCAAGGCTCAATGGGCCATGCACGGCGAAAGCCTACAACGACCCTGTCCAACTTGCCTGAACTACATCAACTACATGGGCTACGGGGTGATGGACATGAATCTGGACCACTGCCTGCATCCCTTTCACAAAGGATGGATGCGTCGAAGGAATGGGCAGCTTGGGCTCCGGGCTTTGTGAAGGCCATTCAACACTCTTTGACCTGGTTTCTGTCTTCATTGACGCTGGCAGAGCAGGAGGAGCACACCCCACAAATAGCCAAACTGGACATGGATGCTTGGAGACGTCATGTACATCAAGGACATCTCCCTTTCAGATCGGACTGCCGAGTTTGCGCTGAAGCTATGGGGTGCGACTCACCTCACCGGGTGGCCCCTTCGAGGTTGGGAAGGACTATGGGACTGGTATGAGCTGTCGCTATGCTTTGGTTGGCACGGTGGCAGTACCCATTTTGGGGGATCCTCCCGGGGCAGGCGATGAACCTTGTGACCACCCTGAAGCCATGAAGGAGGTGCCAGAATTGCCAGAGCTCGAGGATGATGCCGCCATGGTGACGAAGGAAGAGGCGCAGGAGCTCAATTGCAGTCGCGGCGATGCAGAAGAGGGGGAGATTGCCAAATCCACGGAGGCGATGCACTTCCAGAATTTAACAGTGGTTGATGTGATGCAGGACCGGTCGGTGGGCTCCATCGTGCAGGCCTTGTCCAAAGTGTATGCCAAGTTTCGATCACTGGGGGTTCAAGTCTTTCGCCTCCATAGTGATCGTGAGAAGTCTTTCATGGCTCGACCGGTTCAGCGCTGGTGTCAGACTCGCGACCTCCTACAGTCCATGACGGGAGGAGATGATGCCAAGAGTAATGGACGAGTTGAGTCTGAAGTCCAGCAGATCAAGAGACGAACCCGTGTTCTTCTACATGAAAGTGGGCTCCCACACACGTTTTGGGTCTGTGCACTGAGGCACGCAGCGGAGCAGCGCCTACGCGCACAGTTGCATCGACTTGGAGTGATCACCCGCCCGATGTTGAGGTTTGCATCAACCATGTCTGTGAAGACGAAGCGATGGCACCGCTCTGGACAACTGAGCAACCCGTTTCGCAGCATGCAGATTTTGGGACTCAGTCCCTTTATGCCCAACGGGTGGCTGGCGAGAGATCGCCGTGGCATGGTTCAACATGTCAGATCCGCCTGGGTTCAAGCAGAAGGCACCGATCAAGCACTACATGAACTACAAATGGCCGATGCCGAAGCGCTTCAGCCTGTGCGACGGCATCTACATGGAAAACAACACCCTGTGGAGGAGGATCCCCTGGAAGGTGTGGTCGGTGCACTATACCACCCTGCTTTGTCTACAATGCAGGCTGGGGGGGGGAAAGCTTTGGTTTTTGAGCCGGTGGATTCTGAATCCGGACACTTTGAGCCCAACTCTGATTCGTTGAACTCTATGGGTTGGGGATGGGAGGACAAAACTACAAGATTGCCGACATCTTCCAGCGGGACATCGCCTACTACCAGGGAAACCATGGCGGAGGACAAGGGCGTAGGACAGGGGGAGGATCAGGCCTGGACCACTGGTTGGCTGGAGCAAGAAAAATAGCACAACCAGGAGTTGCCGGAGCACTGGTCATTGAAGAGATTGTGGAGTGAGGAACTCAACAAGATAGCCGTGGGTGCGGAGGAGGACGGGAATATGGAGAATGGCTCCATTGGTTGGAAGTTATGGTGTTTTCAAGGGAAGTGGTCCTGGGAGAGCAGCACCGAATGCTGGAAGAAGCACGATGGTCCAAGATCGCAGCAATGAATGATGAGACCACCACACGTGTTGGCACTTTCTCCAGACCAAGCACAGTGCTTCAAACTTATACAGTTCCTCTCCAACAAGTGCGGCGTGACCTGGAGAAGTGGAAGGAGCCCTTGACTGATGAGTACCTTTCGCTGACCTCCAACACCAAGTTTTGAGACCCACAACAACAGAGGCCTTGAAGAACCACCCCAACTACGCTGAAATGGAAGTGGCGCCTCCCCACGGTGAAAGCTCCGTTCGGAAAACATCGGGCTCGCATGGTCATATGTGGAAATAGAGTGGAACTGGCCGACCCGGAACAGGCCAACAGGAGATCTCAAGAGCCGGAACGTGAAGAAGGCCGAGAAGTTCTTTTTGGGAACTACGCAGGTGGAGCGGACGCCACTTTCGGAAAACGGCTCACGAGCGCTGGACTTTGGGATCGGTGGACGTGAAAACAGCGTTTCTTCTTGCTCCTCGTCAACGGGCCAAGGAGTCTCTCTTGGTGGCGATCCCGCCACGGGTGCTTGTTGAAGCTGGCATCGTAAAGGAGAACGAAAGATGGATCATCGACAAAGCCATGTACGGTCTGGATTCCAGTCCAGCGGATTGGAGGGTCTATACAGGGACACCATGCTGCAGCAGTGCAAGTGGGAGCTCATCTACAGCATGAACTACGACCCACTCCAGAAGGAAACTTGTGGCAAGTCATTGCCACTCAAGCTGATGGAAAAGAAAAGGCGGTGGGCTATGTCGCTGTGTATGTTGACGACTTGCTGGCGGTTGGACCGGATGATGTTGTCCGGGCCGTGTTGCAGCGCATCACTCAAGAGTGGAAATGCTCGGAGCCGGAGTTCGTGGGCCAGGGGAGGTGCATGAAATATTGCGGCTTTGAACTGTCCTGGGATGGTCTCACAAATGAGTTGATCATTGGGCAGGAAGCATATACATTGGATTTGTTGAGCCGCCATGAACCCGCTTCCTTGAGGTCTACACCACTTCCTGGCAATCTTTGTGAAGACCCTGAACCTTCGCCAACGCCGGAGTAGATCAAAGCAGCTCAGGGCTTAGTCGGTGAAGTGCTCTGGTTGTCGACCAGAACCAGGCCTGATCTGGCCTTTGCGGTGGCTTGGATGGGGAGAGGAGTCAGTAAGTATCCAGCTCGAGTTTGTGAATATGGGCGGCATGTTTTGGGCTATATCACTGCAACCTCCAATATGGTGTTGAGGTATGGTCAATGTCCCCAAGGTTTGGAAGAGAGCTCGGATCTCGCCTTCCACAGGTCTATGACTCGGCTGGAGGTCTTCTGCGATTCCTCCTTTGCTCCTTTTGGTTGCCGAGGCCAACAGGGGGTGATCGTGCTATATGGCGGGGCTCCCATTCAATGGGAATCAAAGCAGCAGCCCTTCGCGACCCTTTCGAGCTCGGAGTCGGAGATCTGCGGGTACCTGGACGGGGTGGTGATGGGCGAATCCGCCAGAGTGTTGATCAACATTTTGGAGCAGGGGGCACTCAGCGATGAGAATTGGGGTGGTGCTCTACGGCGACAGCCAAACGGGTTTGAAGATTCTTCAAGCCCCTGACGGGGCATGGCGCACACGCCACCTGAGATTGAGGTGTTTCGTGGTTCGCAAGCGGGTGAACTTGGGCATGTGGAAAGTCCGCCACCTTCCGGGCTCGAGGCTAGCTTCGGACTTGCTCACCAAGGTGATCACACAGCCAGGAGCATGGCAAGCCTTCTATGAGTTCATGGGGTTGAAAGCTGCTGGACGCGCCGCGCTGGATGAGGCTGAGAGCTGTGAGGGTCCGGGGGAGCGCGGCTGCCTTGGTAGGTGTAGTGGTAGGTCTTGCAGCTTGGAGGCCTGTAGAGAGGCTTGGTAGGATTGCTCGCTTGTTGGGCTTGGCCGCGGGTGTGGTCAAGCTCTCTAGGATGTTTGAAAAGAAAGAAAAAAGAGTCACTGGCCGTCAAGATCCATCCAGCATGAGGGAGACCATCGAAGAGACCTGAATGAGGAAGCTTGGCAGATCTCTCTGAGAGATGAAGGTTTGCTGCCTCCTAAAGCGGACTCATTGCCGCTGTGGATGGGGGTGTCGACAAGGGTGATGGCAGCTCGCGGCTCGGCGGATGAAGATCCGGATCCTGAGGATAGCTTTCAATTGGTGTATGAAGCACCTTGAACCCTTTTTTGTGGATGGACGAAAAAACCTGTCCACAGGGAATGCCTGCAACGCAGGCAGGGGGAGTGTGGATGTTCAAGCACCTCTCCATGCTTTTAGGATGACACGCACAAATCACAAGTGCGGATCGATGCTTTGGCTCAAGAAACAGGACGTGCTGAGCGTCTTGTCTGATTTGGTTTTGCACCTCCTTACACCCAAACCTTGGTCCATCAACAGAAGACCTACGCTGCCCCAAATGGCTCTGATCCACCGCCAGCGGTGGATAGGGGACCCCTCCCCATTTATCTCAGCTGGGTGATTCTTCAGCAGAAGTCCCCTGGTGATGTTGCTTCCCCAAGAGCAAGCAAGCGAAAATCCACTCAGATGGGGAAGCCTTCTAAGCTCCGTCTGTCTGCTTGATCACCCACTAGATCAGGTGAACGAGCACTCCAAACCAGATACGAAGACGCGGTAAAGAGAGTTTGAGGATAGACTGATAGACTGGTGAATTTTTGGAACAATCACTATTTATAGGGTTTAATATGGGTTTAATCATATCCAGGTCTCCCCATTTTGTGACAACCCGATTTGTATGTTGGGTAGGTATTGGAGAATGGTGACCCCGCTATGGTGCGCCCGGAGGAAAAAGCCACCGCTCTGGTGCGGAGGGTGAGTAGATCCTGAAAGCAAGTGTACAAACTGGTCTCATCATGTGAAAATTGGGTGAAATCATGTGAATCTATGTCCTATATCCCCTTTGAAATTCATATGGGTACTTGGGTAGCCCAATTTAGGACTCAGGTGACCTGATTCCATAGTGGGAATCTTTTAGGGGATTGTCCTATGTTAATTTCAGCACAACAGTACAAATCATGTGAATCAATTCGAATGTCCGCACCGAAGTGAAACCATCTTCATCATCTTCTCCAGCTCGGCTGCTCTCCAAAAACCACTCGCTTTGCCCCGCTTCGCTCCGCTTCGCCCCCGCCTCTGAGGGGAGTTGTCTCAAGAAGAGGCCTGGAAAATCGGATGGCACAGCTGGAGGCCTGGTACCCCTGTCCACATCGGATGGCGCCCAGTTCGATGATTCTCGGGGACGACCTATAGCCTGGGACACTCGAAAGGCATTTGTTGAGAAGGGTCTTCTGAGCGCCAAAAACCTAGTCGAAAATGACCCCGTCCGGACGGCAACGCCCGTAACTGGTGAAAGGCGGGTGTTGGATCAGATCCCACTACCCCTTGCACAACACGACCCCAAACATTTATACTGGAATATTCTGGTGGTTGTACTCCGAACTCACCTATCCATAGCTGGGGGGGTTTTGGATCATAGATCACCTGAGCATAACCCAAGCTCCGTTCTTCGTTGGAGCCCGTGCTGGTGTCACCGTGGTGCCTTTAATCCCAACTCACCTGCAGAATGTATTGGGGGTTCCAATCGTCCAAGTCACTGATCTTCTGAATTGACACCACCCTTTTCGATTTGATAACAGCCACGTGGCCAGTGAGACTGCTAATCACCATAATCACCTAAAGAAACACAAGCATGGCCACAAGCAGATGTGCGAGAAGCCCAAAACGAAACGATGGAAAGCAAAAACACGGAACTGCTGCGCACTGCAAACGTCCATGGCCTTTCCCTGAAGAACCACCTACTGAGGTTTAACTAGCAATGTATCGCCTATTTCCACATGGGCTATCGGCTATCCCATAGGCTCTTGGTGTCCCTCAGAGCCACCTTGGTGTCCCTCAGAGCCATAGAGGTCTCTTAACATCTCATAACATCTCTTGACCCATCCAAGAGGCGTCCTGGACGAAGTTTCTGGTGATTCTAGGGGTGTCCCAAAACCACCGGACGGACTGCGACCTTCTCGGAAGGTCCCAAGTCCTGTCATCAAAGGTGGATTAACACTGCTTAGACACCAAGAGAGGTAGCCAGTGACCGTAAATAGGACCGTAACCTAGGGGTACCGAACTGGGATAGGCGAACGTTCGGGTCCTGACCCACCTCTGTTGACCTCTCTGAAGAAGTCGGTCATTTCATCCCATCGCTTCACATGAGTCCGGCCCAGTCCACCCGGCTCCACCCGCGCAGTCTGAAGCGCTTCGCTTCAGCTCAGTCACCGAGGAAGGCCACGACCACCAATGCCAAGAAGACCTGGTCGACTTCGGAGTGGAGGAGTTTTTCATCCACCCCAAATGGCGCGGATACCATGGATGAGTGGATCAGACTGGGAGTTCTATAGGAGAACAGCTGCCATTTTGTCAGTTCTAGAATTCCATCATATAGATGGCTATGGCTGTGGGTCAAAACCGCGGGTGTGAAGCTCCATCCGTGCTGGATGATGTACGCTTTCTATGTAT